AGTACACTATTCAACTTATTGTTGGACGAAATGAAACAGCTAATAAATAACAACCTGCGGTTGGCAGCAGTCGGGAGTAAAAAATATGAAACTATGAATTTACGTTACTCCGTCTAAAGCGAAATAAAATGTAAACATAACAATGAGAATATATAAGAAATACTTGAAGGGCAGAAAATGATGGAGTCATCGAATATAATTGCTGTCGCGAACGATAAGAAGTGGGATCGACAAATTAATCGGTGTGAGAGCATCGATGGAAACTCTCACGAGACTATTCAATCCTTCGGTTGGCGTCGCCGGTACAAAGTACGTACAACTTCAACAATAAATTCGAGTTTCTTGCCGATCGTCGCGCGGCGTAGATAAAATCGACGATTTAATTCCTCCGCAAGAACTTCACCGAGCAGGTACAATCGTCGCAGGTACAAGACTCCTCTTCGCTCCCTTTCTCTCATCTCCAATTCGTACACTCTGTATCTCTGTATGTGTGCATGAATGTAATGATGGAATCGGAACGAGAAAAAAAGAAAAAATGGCAGTTAGAAAACGAGTATTGTAAGAGCGAGCCGAGGTATCTCTCTCTCTCTCTCTTTCTTTCACCCAGCCTCTCATTCCACCTTTCTTTCTTCATTTGCATCGTCTTTCCTTCTCTCTCGACCAATCAATTTTCTAGTTAATCGTTTAACCAACTGTTCGATAGAGCAGTTTCTAATTAGTGGAATCGAATGGAGGAGGCGTGATCGGATCGCTTGACGCGAGGGAAATCCTTCGCTAGTCAGGGATTAGATCCTTAGAAAGGAGACGCTATAATCGCACGCGACGTAAAATGGAGCGAGAGAAGAGGGTGGTGGCTCGTGCTCGGCACGAAGTGGCAACAGGCAAGTCAAAGGATGAGAGTTAAAAGTGCGGGATGCTGGAAATTGAACCATTATAACTTGTTACGCGAGTAAATCATTTCGAACGAAAAGGTTGCGATGCTGTCGAATTTCATCTCGATAGAAGTTATATGACATCTAATGACATTATTATTTTCTTCGAGAAAACCAGCAAAATGACAAAAAAAATATGATTATATAAATTTAATCAATTTACATTTAATCAATTTAATGCATCTGTATAATATCTTGCATTCCTTAAAAACTCGTATCTCTTTCTCATCTTTTTCTCTCTCTTTTTTCTTAGATAAAAAATAATTTTTTATTTAATCGGAATAAAAAAAAAAAAATTATAACAGCGATGTGCAAGCGTACAAGCCTTATATCAAAAATTTAATAAATATCTAAAAAATCTAATAAATCATAAAATAGGTATTAAATTTGAGGAATAAATTTTTTATAGTTTTTTTTTTTTT